TCAGCAGATTCAAGCTTACAAGAATCTTTATAACATTATTTATTACTTAAAAGAGTCCTCACACCAGATACATTATCATCTATTGTGCCTGAGAAATGCATGAATCTTAATAAATCACTCTTTACAGATCTGAGCAACTTGCCATGTTTAACTAGAGACAAAATAAATGATAGAAATAAGAAGAATGAGAAACTAGATAGTAGCAGAAAGCAAAAAATTCCAGTTTGTATACAGTCTCTATATAGCATCAAATAATTAAGAGTTTCTGAGAATTTATGATATTTACAGTTTGATTTGTTACTCACAACTAAATTAAATCTTAATAAGTTTCTTACAAAAATGAAAATGTTTGTCTTATATTTAATTATGTAAAGTCAGAACTTCAAGTAGCTAAGAGTATAAAGTACTGGCAGAAGTGACAGCTTCAAGGCCTAGTAAGTAAAAGAAATAATTAAAGAATAATTTGGTGAAGCCCAGCAGACCCAGAGCTATTACAAGTAGAAAAACCCATCCAGAGTAAATCTGGAGCAACAAGAAAATCAAAAATGTGGCCCAGAGTAAAGCCAGGGTAATTATGTAGTGCCAAAGGTGCTAAGGCTGTCCACAGTGCAAAAAATTAGACTAAAATTTGTGGGGTGTGGGGGGCCTGATTGGGATTTGCTGATGTGAACTAACAGCTCTTTTGAATACAGATGTTATCAGATCAGATCTGAATACTATACTGGTAAAGCTATTTTCAAGTTTTATTATAAGATGATTTTCTTCTGTATTATTCTTAGTATTTTTACTAGAATTTGGTTGCTAAGATTTAAATTAGCTCTGGCTTTTCTGTTCAGAATTTGTGTACCATTTTTCTTTAGATCTTGATCTTATCTATAGGTCTGGCTTTAGCTTTCATTCTTGATATCTCTTGTTGGTGAAAAGATAAGAGTATTATTGTATAGTATGATATGAAGTCTTACAATATCTACAGTTGTTATCTATTTTACTAGATGTTTTTTTGCATAAGAATTTGACATAATTATTCTATAAGACTTTCTTCTGTAAAGTATATTTTTGTATAATTTGCTTGTTGAAGATAGTCTTTCTGAACTTGATTTGTTTAGTTATATAAATTCTGTTTAAAGCTTCTATATATTTCTTTATCTTCTGCACAAGATTCCTTATATTCTTACATATTATGTCACTTGGGTTTATATTTTAAATTATTGATAGCATATTATTTGTATAATTCTTATTAATCACTTATATATCTTCAATTATCTTGTTAATTACTAGAGAAGAATGTAATGAATGAAAAGCTTATAATATCTTCTGATACTATTCAAGCAGCATATCAAGATATTGTATAATTAATCTATAGTTATATTAATATGTGTAGAAATAATTTTCTGCTGTATAAATACATGTATTTTTATCAGACTTTAGAAAGAGCTGCTTTGTACAGAATATTATAAGAGCAGAATTATTAATATTATTTTTATAGTACTTATTAATCTGATTTCAAGTATTATCTTTCATGTTTAAGCTAAGCTATATAGTGAAGAATGTTATAGTATTTTGTTAGGAGAACCAGTCATAGGTCATGTAGATTTTTCTAGAATTAGGGGTACAAAAGAGCTAAGTAGGTACAATGCCTGCAACTGATAAGAGAGAGTCATGTGTAGAATGTAAGGGTCCTCTAACTAGAAGACTGAACACTGGAGTTCTTACAATTCATGTGAATTGTGTGATTCTTATATGTTCAGAGTCGGGGTCACATAAATACCCCTGAATATCTGATATTATCTGATGCTTGGTTGGTCTAGATCTATATTTGTAACACTATTCCCCCTCCAGAGGTCTCAGACTTTAAGATATAGGGTTACTAAAGTAGTTTTCCATATGTTGTTGTAGCTTCTCTATTATTAATAAAGTATTGTAGATTCTTGAATGTGCAAGCTTCTGCATTACTACTACTTGTCTATATAGATATTCTACATGTGTATTGCTGGCAGTTGCAGTAGATATTCTTGATTATAGAACAGTAATCATTTTATTATAAAAGTTTAGTATTTTATCACATACTTGTTTCTTTATTTGTTTACTTGTCTGGTTGCTATATTATCTGTTGTCTGTTGTTATATTATTTATTAACAAGTTGTGGAACTAGCAATCTTAGTGTGTTATAATATAAATATAAATAGAAAGTTTCTAACTCTCTTTTTTCTTCTTTTTCTTCTGCTTTGTTTGAACTCAGATGTTGTTTCTTGTTTGTTTTATAACCTATTATAATATTGTTATCAAAAGACTCTGTTATATATAGTAAAAAAGACACTCTTCTGTGCTTCATCTATATTTACTTAATATTTACAGACTATCTGAATAAAGATGAATCTTGTCTATAAAATATCAAGAAGAAATCTTGTTCTTATTATTTAGAATATTAAATCTGTATCTGTTGTAATATAAGTGTGTCTTTATTCATTCTTCTTGTTGTTCTGATCTGGCTGTAGATTCCAGAATCTGCTGTTAAACTAGTTCATCAGCTCTTGTAACTTTGAAAAGAATACTATAGTTTTGATGTAGCTAATTTATGTTGTCTGTACAACATCAAGTGCATGAGTATATTTGTGTGTGAATTTCATAAGCTTGACTCAGAAGCTGCTAAACATCACTGCTGTCAGATCACTTCTGCTGTTAAAGAATCTTTTATAAAATATTATCATCCTGTCTTATATTATATAGCCAAGACTGTGAATCTCATATTCAAAACAGAATCTACTAAAGATAGTTCATCTGAATTCTCTTATTTATTAAGCTCAGTTTGTATTATTCTCTTTCAGATTAAAAATAAAGTTGCAAATATCTGAATCTTACTTGATTATCTTATAACTTGTTTGACAAGTGAAATCAAAGCTTTTTAAGATAGTATAAAAACTGGTCTTGTAGATCTTCTGTATTATCTTACTTGTTCTCAGACTAACTTCTGCTTAAACTACTCTCATATCTTTAATTAATTGTCTAGCTAATATTGTTTCTTCTGCTTTTTAGAGTATTGTAAAAATATTTCATTCTCTTTATAGTTCTTTATCTATAATATCTTTCTTTATAACTATATCTTCTGTTGTAATCTTGTCTGTTGTTGTACTAAACATATCTGTGACTTCTGAGTCTTGCTCATCTATAGCTAATTTGCTACTATTACAGCTATATCTTAAGCACTCTTGTGATACATCTTCTTACTGTTAAATTCTTGATTTTGTAGATACATTGTAATCTTTATATTTATTTTGTGTTATGTTTATCTTTCTTTCTGTATGTAGGTTTGTTTATTTTCTTGTAATTACATCTTTTTTTTAGATAATTCTTAAGAGACTCTTGTGTATTTTTGAGATTTTTCTTAGATTCCCACATTAATTTCTTAATAGGGAATTCTTTCCACTTCACTAGATAATGTCTCTTGTGGTAGTATGCTTTGTTGTTCAAGATTTCATCTACTTTCTACTGATAATGGTCATCTACTAGTACTGTAAAGAGATATATTCATGCCTCACCTGTTCTTGTATGGTACAGTTCCAATAATGAGATATGGAAAATGTTATAGATCTGATAGCTTGGAAAGAGCTTCAGTTAATATATATTATTTTCTATAATCTCTATCACTAAGAAAGATCTATAGTACTTGTTGTCTAACTTCTTGCAAGAATATATTATTTGTAGGTTTCTTAATGACAACATCACTTTATCATCAGATGCATACATTTGATCTTGATATCTTCAGTTATAGAATTATGCTTGATTTTCTTTTGCTTTCATCAAACATTTTATCAGATTATTTCTTAATGTAAAGATCATTTTCAGTTTTCTGTTGAGCATTATCTGTGTATTGTTATTGTTGTCAATTAACTTCTAGATCTTGTCTGGTTCTCTAGATTTGAAGCTGTACATTGCTTTGAACAGAAATATATGTGTTGTGAAGTATTCTGACCTGTTGTATGCAAATTCTGCATACACAAGCCACTCCTCCTAATTATCTTGTCTATAATCACAATAGATATAGAGATATCTTTTCAAGATCTTGTTCAGTGCCTCTGTTTGGCTATCTGTTTGTGGATGAAAAGCCATACTAAGTTTTTATCTAACTTTCATGTGGAAATATAGCTCTGATTAATATTTGCTTGTAAAGACAGATTTTCAGTCTGAGACAATATTATCTGGAAATCTGAAGTTCTTGAACATCTTCTTCAGCAAGAGATTTGTCATCTCTGGTGTGTTAATCTTCTTTCTACATGTAAGAAAACATGCAAGCTTCATAAATTAATCTACAACAATCAGAACTGTATTGTATGAATTTTTCTTCTCTTTACTTAGAGAAAGATCTGTTATAAAGTTCATAAATATTGAATATCAGAGATTACTGGGTGTCAGTAATAATGCAAGTAATCTATATAGTTTGTGTGTTGGAGTCTTTTCTTATTAACAGGTTTGGTATTTATGTATGTATATCTGGACATCTTGTCTTATTAATTACTAATTATATTTTTGCCAGAGCAAGATAAATATTAGGCTGGTATTTGGAACTGGCACAGAACCCTATTTTCTATTGAAGCTGGTCCTGGTTCTGAATTTAGAAACAGCTGGAATCCCAAACATGAAATCTCAGTCTCATATTCTATCCCACTCAAGAACTTGAGGTTCTGTTCCCATTACTATTCCATAAATTATTTCCTGGTCCTGTCCTCAAATAGAAAATTATATCCCATGTCCCATCCCAGCAGAGAAGGTAGACTTCTATTTCCCATCTCAGCTAGGTCTATAGTGGGATCAGAATGGGACTGGGTTTCCCAGCCCTATTGTGTCAAGAGTCAAACTGGTCAAATTTTGCATGGACTGTTATTAAATTTTGTTACTTTTTTGATGAAGGTGGAACTCTTAGAAAAATCAATTTCATTGTTAAAGAAAAAAACAAAGTATTAAAACTAAGTAATGACTAAAGCTAGTAAACAATTAGAAACTGTCTAAATAGCAAGTTCATTATTCTCATCATCATCATCATTCTCATTATTATCATTATTCTTGTTATTGTTATTATTCTCTTTCTCTTTCTTCTTCTTTCTCTTCTTCTTCTTCTTTTTCTTCTTCTTCTTTTTCTTCTTTTCCTCCTTCTCCTCCTGCTTCTTCAGAATCAGCTTTATGAACCAGACAGGGACTTTAATATCTGCTATTTGATAAATGGAGACCCTGTTGGTGCCAGAGGGAGGCAGAGAGACAGTAGTGGGCAGTGGCAGTGATGGTGGAGCAGTGGCAGGAGTAGTTAGTGAGATGGGAGCAGAATACAAGTGACAGATAGTGGCAGCAGAGATGGAGGCAGCAGAGACAGAGCAATCAGACATATTAATTGAGCTGAAATAGTTTGATCTGGTCATGGCACTGATGCCAAGAATAAGCTTTATGTTGGTGTTGACTTGTTAGGTGAACTGGTTGTAGGTCATGTAGGTTTTTCCAGGATTAGGGATACAAAAGAGCTAAGTAGATACAATGCCTGCAACTGATGGGAGAGAGTTGTGTGTAAAATATAGAGGTCCCCTCACTCAGAGACTAAATGCTGGAGTTCCCACAATCCATGTGAATTGTGTGATTCTTATATGTTCAGCATTGGAGTCACATGAATACCCCTGAACATTCAATATTATCTGATGCTTGGTTGGTCTAGATCTACATTCATAACACTATTCTCCCCCTCAGAGGCCTTGGACTCCAAGACATAGGGCCACTGAAGTGGTTTTTTGTATATTATTATAGCTTCTCTATCATTGGTGGAGCATTGTAAGTTCTTGGATGTGTAAGCTTCTGCATTACTCACTGCTTGTTTATATAGATATCCCACATGTGTATCACTGCTGGTTGCAGTAGACATTCTTTGTCATAGAAGAGCAATTATTTTATTATGAAAGTCCAGTGTTTTGTCATGTAGTTGTTTCTTTGTTTGTTTGCTTGTCTGATTGCTATATTGTCTGTTGTCTGTTGTCATGTTGTTTATCAACAAGTCATGAGACTAGCAATCTTGATATGTTATAATAGATATAAATAGAGAGTTCCTGGCCCTCTTCTTTCTTCTTTTCTTCTGCTTTGTTTAGACTCAGATATCATTTCTTGTTTGTTTTTTAACTTGTCATAATGTTGTTGTTGAAAGACTCTGTTATGTATAATAAAGAAGACACTCTTCTGTGCTCTATCTGTATTTACTTGATATTCATGGACTGTCTGAATGAAGGTGAGTCTTGTCTATGGAATGCCAAGAAGAAATCTTATTCTTATTATTTAGAATATCAAATCTGTATCTGTTATAATATAAGTGCATCTTTGTCTGTTCTTCTTGTTGTTCTGACATAGCTGTAGATTCCAGAATCTGCTATTGAACTAGTTCATCAGCTCTTGCAACTTTGAGAAGAATACTATAGTTTTGATGCAGCCAATCTGTGTCATCTGTACAATATCAAGTGCATGAGTATACTTGTGCATGAATTTTGTGGGCTCAACTCAGAAGCTGCTAAATATTGCCACTGCCAGATTACTTCTACTGTTGAAGAATCTTTCATGAAACATCATCATCCTGTCTCACATCATGTAGTCAAGACTGTGAATCTTGTGTCTGAGACAGAATCTACCAAAGATGGCCTGTCTGAGTTCTCTTATTTGTCAAGCCCAGTTTGTACTGTTCTCTCTCAGGTAGAAAATGAAGTTACAAATATCTGAGTCTCACTTAACTATCTTATAACTTGTTTGATGAGTAGAACCAAAGCTCTTTAATATAGTATAGAAGCTGGTCTTGTAGATCTTCTGTACTATCTTACTTATTCTCAGACTAACTTCTGCTTAGGCCAATCTCATGTCTTCTATTGATTATCTAACTGATGTTGTTTCTTCTGGTTTTTGAAGTGTTGTAGAAATGCTTTATTCTCTTTATACTTCTTTGTCTGTAATGTCTTTCTCTGTGACTGTATCTTCTATTATAGTTCTGTCTGTTGTTGTACCAAATGTACCTGTGACTCTCAAGCCTTGCTTGTCTATGGCTGGTTCATTACTGTTGTGGCTGTATCTCAGGTGCTCTTGTGGTACATCTTCTTACTGTTAAATTCTTGATTTTGTAGGTGTGTTGTGATCTTTATATTTATTTTGTGTCATGTTTATCTTTCTTTCTGTATGTAGGTTTGTTCATCTTCTTGTAATTTTGTCTTTTCTTTAGGTAATTCTTAAGAATTTCTTGTGCATTTTTGAGATTTTCCTCAGGTTCCCATGTTGATTTCTCAATAGGGAATTCTTTTCACTTCACTAGATAATGTCTCTTGTGGTAATGTGCTTTGTTATTCAAGATTTCATCTACTTCCTACTCATGATGGTTATCTACCAGTACTGTGGGAGAATGTATTGGTGCCTCACCTGTTCTTGTGTGGTACAATTCCAATAATGAGACATGAAAAACATTATGAATCTGATAGCTTGGAGAGAGCTTCAGTTGATATATGTTATTTCCTATGATCTCTATCACTAAGAAAGGTCCATAGTACTTGTTGTCTAACTTCTTGCAAGAATGTATTGTTTGTAGATTTCTTGATGACAATATTACTTTATCACCAGATGCATACACTTTATCTTGACATCTTTGGTTATAGAACTGTGCTTGATTCTCTTTTGCTTTCATCAAACATTCTACCAGACTATCTCTTAATATGAAGATCATCCTCAGTCTCCTGTTGGGTGCTGTCTGTATGTTGTTGTTGTTGTTGACTGACTTCTAGATCTTGTCTGATTCCCTAGATTTAAAGCTGTACATTGCTTTAAACAGAAACATGTGTGTTGTGGAGTATTCTGATCTGTTGTATGCAAATTCTGCATACACAAGCCACTTCTCTCAATCATCTTGCCTATAGCTACAATAGGCACAAAGATATCTCTTCAAAATCTTGTTCACTGTCTCTGTTTGGCTGTCTGTTTATGAATGAAATGCTGTGCTAAGTTTTTGTCTAACTTTCATGTAAAAACATAGCTCTGACCAGTATTCACTTATGAAAACAGATCCCTGGTCTGAAACAATATTATTTGGAATCTAAAGTCTTTAAATACTCTTCTAAACAGAAGATTTGCCATCTCTGGTATGTCAATCTTCTTTTTACATGCAAGAAAATATGCAAGCTTTGTAAATCAATTCACAACAACCAGAATTGCATTGTATAGGTTTCTCTTCTCTCCACTTGGAGGGAGGTCTGTTATAAAGTTCATGGATATTGAACACCAGAGATCACTGGGTGTTGGCAATGATGCAAGCAACCTATATGGTTTATGTGTTGGAGTCTTCCCTCATTGGCAGGTTTGGCATTCATGTATATATGTCTGGACATCTTGTCTTATCAATTGCCAATTATATTTTTGCTGAAGCAAGGCAAATGTCTTTGCCACATTAAAGTGACCTGCAAATAGATTGTTGTGATGGACTTGTAGTAGTTCCTGTCTTAAAGCTGGATTATTAGAGATGTAGATTCTGCCACTCTTTATTAAAAGATCTTGTTTATCTATTTTCCACTCTGACTGCTGAGATTCTGTCTTGATGAATCTTGCTTATACAGAGAGATTATCTCTCTGTGCTTCTAGCAGCAGATTCAATATGCTCACAGTTGATTCATTATAGGTCTTTTTATTTTTTGTCACTGTGTTCATGTGCATATGGGGAATCCAGAATCTTCTGTAATTTCTTTATTAAGCCTCCCCAGCATCTTTGGCTGGTGCTCCCTGAACTGACTTAATTATCTTGGTGCCACCAGGTCTCCCCTGCACCATCTCTATCCTACTGCTTTAGACAGTGTGAGCAGCATGTACTTGAATATCTTCTTCATTAAAGAAAGTTTCTTCAAATGGGTCCCACTCTGGAACACCATCTGTATAACATTGTTTGAGTATATACATTAGCAGACCAATGTCTTCTTCTAGTTTAATATAATCTGATCTTTGTGATAATGCATCAGCTGGGTTATGCTTTCCAGAGCAGTAGAGAATCTCAAAGTCATACATCTCAAGAACCTCTATTCATCTTACATGTTATTGTTGTGTCACCTTGTTTGTGAACTTTATAAATGAATGAAGATTTGCATGATCTGTAATAATCTCTACAGAGTACTTTATTTCTTCTAAGTACTGTTACTAATGAACAAATGCTTGGACAATGGCCAACATCTTCTTATCTGGTGTGCCATAGGCTTGTTGAGTCTGGTCAAACTTGAATGACCAGTAGGCAACTGAATGCTATCTATCTTTAAACAGCTGTAGTAATATTGTATCTGCAGCATATTTTAAAGCATCTGTCTCCAGATGTATTCTATATTCTGAATTATGGTGCTGGATGACAGGCTCTCTGGAGAAGGCCACCTGTAACTTGTGAAATACTTCTCTGGCAGTGGGTATCAGAAGAAAAGATTCTTTCTTTCTTTTCTTTTTACTGCTCTTCAAGAGATCTGTCAACAGCATTATGATAACTGAGTACTTTTGTATGAATCTCTGATAGAAGTTCACAAAACCCAGGAATACCTGGATATTATGGAAACTTTGTGGCAAGGGCCACTTTATAATCATCTGTACCTGCTTTGGGTCCATCTTAATACCTTCATTATCAATGATATATCCAAGGTATGAGATTGTTTGCCTTTTGAAAGTGCACTTAGCAAGCTTTGCAAACAACTGGTATTCTCTTAGACACTTTATAACTAGTCTAATGTGTTTCTTGTGCTCTCCCTCTGAGGCTGAGAAAATAAGAATATTATCTAGGTAAACTACACAGCATATGTCAATCAGGCTTGCCAGTGCCCTATTGATATAGAACTGGAAGATTACTGGTATGTTTGACAATCTGAAAGACATGACAAGATACTCAAAACTCTCAAACTTTGTACAAAATATGGTCTTCCATTTGTCTCCTTCTTTGATTCTAATCTGGTGGTAGGCATCATGTAGATCTATCTTGGAAAAGTAGTGTGCTCCCACCAACCAGCTTAACATCTTGTCTATTAATGGCAAGGGGTAATGATTCTTCACCATGATTACATTAAGACTACAATAATTAATACAGAGTCTGAGTTCTTTATTAGCTTTGAGTGCAAACAATACTGAAGCCTCTGCTGGACTTTGTGATGGACATATCTAACTCTTGTATAACTTGTTCTTGATGTACTCTTGTAGGATCTCTGTCTGCTTGGGTGATAGTTTATAGATTAGCATGTACAGAGGCTCACAGCTGTTTTTAAGAATAATTGGATGACTGATCTTTATTAATTCCAGCAACTCTGCTGCTTTTTCTTCTGAGAAAACATCTTTCTAGTCTCTCAACCACTCAGGCACTTCTGTCAGGACTTGATTATTGTCTGATGTGAAAATGACATAAGAAAGTTTGTTCTTGATATGCACTGCTTGGAGAAACCTACCTGTATTCAGAAGTTTCACTGTTTTCTCTGAGAGTTAGTAACATCATGTCTTGTTCTTCCAGTCTATGTCTGGGTTGAAATCTTCTAATCATGGCATGCCTAGAACTATGTTTATGTTGATCATGTTAATCATCACAAACATACATTTTACCATCTTTGTGGTCCCTATAGAGTCTGTCAAAGTGAGTTGAGTCTTGTAGATGCTATACTAATCAGTCTCAGCTCTGTTCAACATCTTAATAACTTCCATAGATGTCTCTGATTGATCCCAGTCCAATTGGGACACCAGTTTGTAGAAGATACTGTTCACTATAGTACCTGAGTCCAACAGTGCAGCTTGCTCTGTAAGATCATCTGACAGTGTAGTCAGTATGGCCAACAGACATATACTGTGCCTGCTTGTCTTCTCTATTAGATTAACACTCTGTCTTTCTAATGTTTGACCTGGATCTTGCATGGGCTTTGCAGCTCTAGTCTTCATCTAATTCTTGTTCTTTTTGTCTGTCTGCTGGGACTTGTTGAAGCTGTTTGTACAGAACTTTGCTCTATAGTCTGATTGGTCATATCTTAGACAGAGCTCTTTATTTATTTGTTGTTTGTATTTCTCTTCTGATATTTTTAGAAGTGGTTTTACCAGTGTCTTCTTTGTTTGTGGATAATCTTCTTTATTGTCTTGTTGAGATGTATCTTTCTCTTGAGAGATTGAGATTTTCTGTTTCTTTTTATTTTAATTCTTGTCCCACTGACTTTTCTTCTTCTTTTCTAGAATGGACTCAATAAGTGTTGCTTGTTCTTGTAATTCCACAACTGTTTTTAGTTAATGTTGCAGTTTATTCAGTTCAGCTCAGATAATTGGTCTGAGCTTTATTTATAGAAAGAGTACATGAAAGAATTCATCTGGTAAACTGTCCAGATCCTGTTTGAGTTCAGTAATGTACATGAAAAATAAGAATATGAATTGGTTCTCTTGTTGGATAATGTTATGATAATGCTGCATTGTGCCTCAACTACAAGTTATCTTGGGTTCAACATTGTTCTTACACCACATCTCAAATTTATTTTATGATGTGGGTAGTTGTTCTCTTTTTATTCCCAACATCTGCCAATGCATCTGAGGTTTGTCATAAAAATGACTGGATATTTAATTAATTCTGACCATATCTGGTGTCTTTTGTAATGATTTCCTCAGGCAAAACTGCTGTCTTATTGAAGCTAACCACAATTTGCACTTACCAAGTAATTTGCTATGATAGTAAGGTGCTTTTGGTGGCTTCACATTATTGAAATTATCTGACTTCTCTATTGGTCTTGTGTATAAGAGAAACTCTAAAGAGAAATTGTTGTTTGCTATTCTCTGTTCATATTCTATTTACTTCTGCAGCCTGCATATCTTGTTTTGTTCATATATGTCTGCTAGATTCTTTTGCAGATGTGTTTTCTTTTCTTTAAAGATCTTCTTTCTTTGGGTTTCATTCAATGTATTGAGAGATGTATCTCTGTTGCCCATATTATCTGCTGGTGTCTTGCTGATGGTGGCTTCACTGCTACCAGCATCTTTATTAATGTTCATCTTCTTCACATTAGTGTCTATCTCTGTCAGGTCCACAACATAGGATGTTGTTGTGATTCATCTCATGGATCTTGGTGGCATCATACTGACTTAAGCAATTATATGTCAGAGTATTCAGAATGTTAGGTGAACCAGTTATAGATTATGTAGGTTTTCCCAGAATTAGAGATAAAAAAGAGCTAAGTAGGTACAATGCCCACAACTGATGAGAGAGAGTCATGCATAAAACATAGGGGTCCCCTCACTCAGAGACTGAATGCTGGGGTTCTCATAATCCATGCAAATTGTGTGATCCTTATACATTCAGCATTGGGGTCACATGAATACCCCTGAACATCCAACATCATCTGATGCTTGGTTGGTCTAGGTCTACATTCATAACATGACTGTAACACACTTACAGTGCACCATTGCTATAACAGAGTCTATATTACTTAGTATAATTATTGGTACTATTATTAATAGTGACTTCCACTCAAACAGAGTGCATAAGGTTACTTCAGCAGTCTTCTGAAGTAACTTAATGATAGTATGTTGCCAGCAATATTCATGTTCTTGATAACAGAACAAAGTAATTTTCCAAACCAATTACTGAAACAGAGCTATCAGAAGAATTAGCTCTGTAGAGCTCTGGAAGTGACAGATTTCTTTAATGACACCTATTTCACCAATTAGCATCAAGACTATTATCAAAAATTGTTACTTTTTGACATATGAGTGCTGGACTTCCAATTATGAACTGGAGAGTGGAGGCAGGGGTTCTTCTAGTTAAAGTTAGCCAGATTAATGTCTTTATTAGCTTTATATCAATTGCTCTTCTTCAGGGCCCATTCTTTTAATATAGTTTTGTGCTGCTTCTCTCCAGCTGTGTGAAATAAATGCACACAGGGAAAACTAATATCTTGTCAGTAAACAATATATGTCAGAGCAGAATTCTGCAAGCACTTATCTCTTAATGTAATCCATTGTTGCAGTGCAGTTTGTTATACAGAGGGACATCAAGGAGCAGTAAATAAAAAGAAAGGCCTGGAAGAAGAAAGAAAATTATTAACATTAGCTCTGAAGAGAAAGAAGAAGAAGAGAAAGAGAAAGAGAAAAGAAGAGAGACTGATCTTATATTATTATTCTGCAGCAGTATAGCAACAACACATTGAGCTTTCTTATAGCAACATGTCTGTAGAATATAAACAATATATATAGTAATTATTCTATGCAAGTACTTGGTTAATACACTCTATATTTCTATTATTCTGTAGCCAGTATAGCAACAACATATTAAGCTTGCCTATAGTAATATGTCTGTAGAATGTAAATAATGTGTATAGTAATTATTCTATGCAAGTAGTTGATACACTCTATAATTCTATCATGCAGTGTCTTTAATTCAACTCATCACATATAATTATAAAGATGGAGCCAAAGCAATATTTAATAAGAGAGAAGACCTGTGTGGTACAGAAGTACTGCCAGATCTTGAAAGACCCTTAAAAAGATATATTCAAGATAGAAAACACAGATCACAAGACACACCATAATATGCTGAAGAGAATCTGAGTCAAACATGAGTGGTATGCATTCTTAGTGATTTGTGTTGAATTATATTAACATTCATTGCAGGCAGAATAGCAGCAAGAAGAATCATAAGATGATTGAGGATAAAGTTATTGAACAGCTGATGGTCAAGCAATTTGCCAAGAGCAAGTCAAAGAAGTACCATGAGCACCAGCTCATGATCTCTCAGCAAAAGAAGAAAGAGAAGGAGAAGAAGCATTGCTGAGAAGAGATTACAGAGACTGAGAATGAAACTCAGCAGAACAAGAAAATAAAATTTAAAAATAATGAAATTTGATAATGATTCTGATATATTTAGATCAAAATAAGCCAGATGCAGCATTCTATTGCTGTATGTAAGCAGGCCCAGTTCTGTTAAATAATAGTCAAGCTTGAGATCAAGATCATGGCCTATGATCATGATTGTCTTACTGCAGTCAGTATATCAAGAGAGAGAGTTAAGAAGAAGATGAGAGGATTTCTGGGCCAATTACAGAGTTCAATAAAAGATAACAACAGCTCATCTGTTTCAGAGAAGATAGAGAAAGATGATTTCAAGATTGTGGTGTTCTCTAATGAGAACAATAAGAAGAACAATAAGATGAATGATGATTGGATTATTGATGTCTTGTAAGAATTCACTGTGAACCCCTTACATGAACAAACAGCACCTGTCAAGGCCAGAGGCCTCAGCTTGTGAGCTGCTGGAAGTTGCATGTGTTCTCACAAGGCACTAAGTCACATGCTTGCAAGCACACATAAAAGGCCATCACTGTGCAAATCTCTTGCTGGGAGCCAGTGACAATCTTGTTTACAAGTTGTACATAGTTGCCAGAATACAGATTTTTTACCTCACATACTCTTTTCCATATATATTTCTTCTAGAGATTCATTATCACACTGATCCACACATACAATTCTCACATTTTGCCACTCTTCTTTGGTGATGCCTGACAATGGTATCAACACAAAGAAGCTAACCCCCTGAAACTCATAAACCTGAAACACCAGCCAAAAACCTACCTGAAGAACAAACCCAAGTTTGTGAAGAGACAACCAATCTTGACACCTCATCTCTCTCAACTGTTGATGAAACAAGCATTACAAACTCAGAGAGAGAGTCTACCTCAACATCAAAAGACAAAATCCAATAGCTTCACAAGGAGACCAAGCTACTAAAGAAAATAGTGAAATGGCAAGAGAAGTTGAATGCTCTCCAGAACACCCAAAAGCACTCACAAAGTGAATCTCTTGATATGGCTATCTCCAACCTAACATCTGTGAAGTGTCTGTCAATCTTGAGACTACCACAACACATAAAGTACTACCAGACTGAAACCTACACAGAATATCACCAGTTCACCTCAGATATTGAATTTATTTACAATACAAGCAAACTGAATGATAAGAATACCCTCATGTATGCTCTCACAGAACTTGATTATATTGAAAAAGATCTTTGAGAGGCCCATTATAAAGATAATCCATCAAAAAATAACTGGACTAATCTTAAAGAATTTCTACACACAAGGCTAGGAGACCCAGCAAACTGCATGTGAAACTCTTGATGAGCAATCTTTGGTCTTCACAAAAGTTTGGATAAAACTGATTATGCCTATCACCAACAATTTCTAGAGCTCACAACAGAGATTGGTGAAGAATTTGAAGATTTCATAAAAATAAAGAAGAACCTGTTTATATAAGACTTGAATAAGCCCATGCAAACCAAACTGGATGAACAGCTGGAAATACCAGATGACATTGATAATATAGTAGCACTGGCCATCTGGCTCCAACCAAGTGTGTCAGTAGCCTATGTGAAGAATGCCTCACATGTGAAGTCTATTAATTCAGTTGGAAGTGCTTGTGGAGGTATGAAGATCAATAACTCAAGACTATGAATGAATAAGAGAAGTCAACCCCAGAGGCCTGCTCAGGAGATAGGGAAGAATCTTACCAAGAATCACAAAGTCTTGAAAAAGAATGGAAGGTGCTTTGAGTGTGGCCAAAAGAGCTATCTTGTGAAAGACTGTTTCAAGAAGAAGAAGAGTAGCAAATAGAAAGTTGGAGAGCTGTGAGTAGATAGAATCAATATAATAAAGTTATTCAAGAACAGTCTCCTTGCTCTCCCCTCTATTGTTCTAGATGTGTGAAGCCCAACTAACAGAAGTATTATCTGGTCAGCACTAATAGATTCAGGCTATCAATCTCTAGTGATCAGTTTGTGATTGGCCACAAAGCTAGATCTAGAGGTGCACAAGATGCCTATAGAGATTGAAACTGCTATGAATCATGAGAATATCACTCTTGTGAAAGAGATTGTGAATATATTCTTTGAAGCCTGTAACTCTCAGAGAAACTGGCAGTTGTTTCATAAATAAGTAATGATCACAAATATAAGAGATGAGATGCTAGTGGGTTTGAGCTGGCTGCAGCAACATAATCTCAAGATGTGTTTCAAGAAACTAAGACTAGAGTTCCAAACTGTGTGTTGTGACCTGCTTGTGAAGATTAAACCAGTTAATTTCTCAGAGCTTGTGAAAGAAGGGAAGCCCATCTATATGATGATTCTCTGTGAATCAGAACAGGTGGTGACAGTGAATCTAGATTTCCAGATACTGGAAGTCTACTGCAAACTTGCAGAAGTGTTTAGTGATAAGAGAGCTTGAAAGCTGCCACCACACTGTGAAGATGATTTGGCCATAGATCTTGAATCAGAAAAGCAGCCAGAATTTGAAAGAACATACAGACTTTTACAAGATGAGCAAGAGACTCTTCACAAATATCTGAGCAGTACTCTAACTCATGGATTCATCTGATCTTTCAAGTCATCTGCAGGAGCACCCATTCTGTTCATGTTCAAGAAGAATAGTGAACTAAGAATATGTGTGGACTATTACAATCTGAATTCAAAAACAGTCAAGAATAGATATCTTCTACCACTAATTGAAGATGTGTTGTATAAGCTTACAGAAGCTGCAATATTCACTCAGTTAGATATCAAGAACATCTATTATAGACTGAGAATTCACAAAGAGAATGAGTGGAAGACTGCATTTCAGACTTCACAGAAGCTATTTAAGTACTTGATAGTGCTCTTTAAACTCACAAATGCACTGGCAGCTTTCCAATCATATATCACAAAGGCACTTAGTGAATCTCTGGATGTGTTCACAGTAGTCTATCTTGATAATGTGGTTGTGTACTCAGCTCACAAGAAGAATTATAAGGAGCATGTGAAATTGATACTTAAGGCACTCAAGAATGCAGGTCTTTATTGCAAGCTGGCAAAGTGCAAGTTCAATGCTTGTGAGATTGACTATCTTGAGTATGTCATAACACCAGAGAGTGTTCTTATAGAGAAGAGCCATATGGACACTATTCTTGACTGGCCAGAGCTAATCAGTAAGAAAGAGATTCAGGTCTTCTTAGAATTTGCAAACTTTTACAGGCACTTTATCTCAAGATTCTCTAAGATAGTCTGTGGCCTGACTGCTCTTCTAAAGGGAGGAGAAGCAAAGCTAAGCAAACACACATAAAGAGAGATGAGAAGAGAAGTCAACACTTTCATAACTGAGAAAGATTACAAAGTCTTCATAAGTCTGAAAAGAGCATTCACAGAAGCTGTTATGCTTCACCATTTTGATATAAAACAGAAGACCAGATTGGAAACAGATGCATCTGGCTTTATAATATGTAGTATTCTATCACAGCTGGCAAAGAATGACATCTGAGTTCCAGTTGAGTTTTATTTACAGAAGATACAACTCACAGAGATAAACTACAGTATTTATAATCAGGAACTGCTCACAATTGTGGAGTTATTTAGATATTGGCACTGCTGGTTGGAAGGCTTGCAAACACCAGTTCAAGTTCTTACAGATCATGATAGCTTGCACTACTTTCAGACTGCTCAAGACCTCTTGTGAAGACAGGTTCACTGGGCACAAAGACTGACAGTCTTTTGATTTACAGTTAACCATGTGAAAGAAACTAAGAACCTGGCAGATGGACCCTCACAAAAATCTGACTATATCAAGAAGACTGGTCTAGATGATAAGAAGGGTTACAAGACTGCAAACTAACTAAGAGTAATGCTCACAAAGAAGCAAGAGATTACAGAGAAGTTGGAATCAACAGCCCAAGTTTCTTCAAACCAGAGAGAGAAGAGAGAAGATGAGAATGCATAACTCACCTTCATAAAGCTTCAGATTGAGACCAAGAAACTACTTATAAAGATTATCTTAAGAGGCACATACAAAGTGAAGAAGATTGCAATGCAGGTCCAGAAGACCAAAGATCTGGTCTACAAGAAGAATTCTTATGAAAAGAGCAGCTCCAACCTGTTGGCATCACTGCCAAATCTACTGCAAAGTGATGACTATGCAGCTGAGGTCCGCAAAGGTATTAAGGTAGGCACAAAGAAATTTGTGATGTGAAAAGAGGAGAAGGGTATTCTCTATAGAGATAGTTGTGTGTACATCTTTCAGAATGAGGTTCTGCAAATAAAGCTGATTAGGCATTATCATAACCTACCTCTTGTGGGGCATTTTGCTACAGCAAGAATATACAAGCTTATAGCTTGCAAATACTTTTAGCCAAGAATGAGAGAACTGATGAAGAAGTGTTGCAAAGTCTGTAAGATTTGTCAGAACTCAAGAAGAGTTTGTGGAAAGTCTCAAGAAGAACTATTATTCTTACCAATCTCAAATTATTCTTAGAAATTCATTAGCATGGATGTTATTACAGATCTTCCTGCAAGCCTGAATTTTGAGAAGGTGTAGTTTGACTGTATTCTGGTTGTAGTGAACTGATTCACAAAGATAGCTCACTTTATCCCTACAACAAAGAAACTGACATCAGAGAAATTGATCCATCTCTTTATTTATGAAATAGTGAGATTGCATGAATTATCTGCAAGCATAGTAACAGATTGAGAATCTCTGTTCACAAGTGAATTTTAGAGTGATTTAACTCACATTTTAAAGATCACAAGAGTAATAAGCACAGCATTCCACCTGCAAACTGATGGTCAGACTGAGAGACTGAATAGTGTGCTGGAGCAGTATCTGCAAAGCTATGTTAATTATGATCAAGATAACTGGGTGATGTAGTTACTAATAACTGAGTTTGTGTACAATAACTTACAACAGACTTTCACACAGAAATCATCTTTCCAGCTAACATATGGGTTGAATCTGTGAATGGAATTTTTGAACTCTGATAAGTATAGCTATATATGCAAGAATTCAAGAGATCAGGTAAAGGCAATGAGATTGCTCTGTAAAAAGGTTAAGAAATCACTTGTGAAGGCACAAGTCTATCAGAAAAAGTACTACAACCAGAAGCACACTGTGAAGGCCTTCCAGATGGGAGACAAGATGTAGCTCAACCTTTGCAATATCAAGACCACACAGCCTAACAAAAAACTGGATTTATTGAGGCATGAGTCTTGTAGAATTATGAAGAAGATAGACTTGTGAATCTACAGACTGGAACTGTCTCCAGGTCTGCAAACTCATGATATCTTTCATGTATCTCTGCTCCACAAACACAAGACCTGTGAAGAAATTGATAGCTCATCTCATCACAAAGTTCACAAGACAGATAAGAATGAAAAGAAGTACTGAATTC